TTCAAATTTTAAAATCTTCGAGAACAGTAATAACTTATTAATACCAAACAGTCCCTTAATTTGTTTTCTTTGCCATCCAATTTTAACAAATATTATAAATATAGTGATTTTTAACAAATTTATTATACAAAAAAATATTCTATGTATAATATTTATAAAACAAAATCCTCCTTCACCAGAAATTGGCAAGTGGCATAAGTATAAAATAACAAACAAAATTTTAAAATCTTAATTTCTTCCTCATTTTCCAGGTATTATATTCATGACGTCTGTGAATAATTAGTTCAATAAATTTTGTTCAATAAAACATATATTAATTACAATATTACCATATTAATTAAGAATTATAAGAGGATGACAATAATTGGATGAAGACCAACAAAGGATAAAAATTAAATAATCATATTTAAATTTTATTAATGCCTAAATAACAACGGGCAACACCAAAACAAAGGCAATGGTGTAAAAAGCATAGAATAATTAAAAATGAAAAGTATTTTATTTTTCAAATAGACACTTTTTTGGAATTCAATGTCAAATTATTAATTTCTTTTTTTCTAAAAGAAAAAACTTATTAAAGTTATAATTTAAAATTTCAAATACAAAGCTCATCTAGAAAGCGTTGGTTTGATTTGTATGGTCCACCTAATTCTAATAACATGAAAAAATTACTTAAAATCAAATCTATTCCAATAAGAAACGTATAAATAAAATTAAAAGCACAACGACTTACAAGGAAAAATAAAAAAACTGAATCCAATGTTCGAAAATCAAAGACCACGATCAACTTCTGGAATTATTAACTCACACATTGAAATCTGAAAAGATTCCTGAGATGGGAAACCCCATACAGCCCATGTGACTGCGATACTGTTTTTGGACCATTTAATCAGACACCTATTCTTTGTTGGAGGAGGGTTATGAGTGGGAGGAAAATGGAAAGTGGATCCCATGTGCTCTCGTTATAAATTTTTATATAAAGTACTATATAAAAAAATATAAATTCTTTTTTTCTAAAAGAAATACGTACTATACACATGAAAAGTCTCTTTTCCTTTGAGACAAAGCAATTGGTCAAGAACAAGCTCGCGCTGCTTTTTTAGCAGCCAAATTGCACTGTTTTTGCCCAAACCTCTCCCTTAAATTTTATATTTTTAAGAAACCATGATTAACTTCTGGAATTATTAACTCATACATTGATATGTGAAGAGATTCCTGAGGTGGGAAACCCGCACAGCCCATGTGATTGTAATGCTGTCTGAGTGGTCATTCGCTTGACTTGATATGATATGATAAAATAAATTTGTCATGTTTTATTATTTTTTTACACATATTTTTTGATGATTTTATAAATAGTCCAAATAAAAAATTCGAGTAGTTACTCTTATCTGGTTTTATCAGTCTAATCATGATAAAATTATCAGGGCTGGATAAGTATAATAAAATTTATTTGAGGTGATAAAAATTTTTTAAGATAATATTATTTTTACTCTTCTCGAACGGGTAAAATTACTATACAAATAAGATAAAATTATCCTATCATACCTTATCCTATCAAGGCAAGCGAACGACCCTTAATCGGACCAATGCACGTACTCTCTCTTGGTGGGTTACGAGTGGGAGGAAAATGGAAAGTGGATGCCATGTGCTCTCCTTATAAAATTCTATATTTTTGGAGGGAAGAAAGGTTCAAGAAAATCAATCACATTTGTGAAAAAAGAAAAATAAAAAATAAATCCTCAAGCAACAGAAGTAATTGTCAAACTAGGTAGATCCACATCCTATGGCACTTTGCCTAGTTGTTATGAAGGAAAAGTACCCATTTGATAGAGACCAGTTCTTATATGTCTAGTGCTGTTGGGCTAATTGGTGGAGTCTGCATGGGCATGGAGGTTATGGGAGAACTTTCATGCGTTGATAGCTTTGTTAGTCAAATAAATTTAGATGACAACCTTTGAATGTTTCCAGAAGCAAATAATTTCGCGAATCGCTTAGCAAAGATTGCAGGTTATCTTCATGGCTTAAAATCTGTTAACAAGCTATTTTTTAACTATTTATTCTTCTGGTTCCAAACTGGCCATTTGGATTTTCTTTATTTAACTACTAATACTGAAATAAATTTTGAGAAACATAATTAAAAATTTATATGTATACATACATACATATATGCATGTGCGCGTGCGTGTTTGTATGCGTCAGTTTTCTTTCTAAAACTTATACAGGATTTGATCACCTTGCTCAGTTTGTCCACCACGATTCATCGGCAATAAAGTCAAAGAATTTGGACATATATTTAACATTTCATCTCATGTTAACTTGTTCCAAGGCAATTCGGTGGAACAAGTAGTGGCCATGAAGGCCCTAAAAGATCCGGGAACAATGAGCACACATTAACTACATGATTGTTTAATAACAAAATTGGGAAGGCAAGGATAGTCTTTAGACATAGTAAATACTTGGTAGTGAATGCTTCTTAAATTCTGCTATCCCCATAGAAAGTACATGGCACTGCGTCTATGAGGTTGCCACTGTTTAACATTTAGGTTAAAATATTGAGAATTCGAGGAATTTCTTTTGTTTGCTTTCGTAAGCTTAAAGATTTTGACTTCTCAATGAAAAATTAAACAAGTAAAAATGTAAAATCCAAATTGAAAAGCTACTAAAACATTAGACCCAACTGAAGTACATGGAACAAGAGATTTGATATCTAGATATAGAAGGTTTTCCCAGCCAAATTTCATTCCACACAAGTACAAAGAACAACGAGAAACAAGAATATACTCTTGGACAAACAAGAAAAATGGCTACCTTAAAGTCTTTCATCACCCCAAAGTCCAACTGGTGTGGAGGTGAATTAATTTATGCAGTGTGGTCTGGCCTCTAAGAGCAGAAACACTATGGTCCGAATTTTTATTTTTGAAATGTTCCAAATGCAGTAAGTCCAAATATATATATATATATATATACTTGTATCTATATATTTTCAAATTCTCAATCTCTTTCAGAAAGCATGTTGGCTTTTGCTCCTCAGTTGCATGAGAATTCAATTATCTGCCATAACAAAGCGTGTGGTAATATAGTAGAGGAACGGTCAACTGTTGTTGACATCAGTTCAATCAACTGCTACAACTTGTAACAGAGATAACAAATGCTTGGGCCCAACCCGTTGTGAAGCTGAAGCTTGGGGTTTGAATGCCATCAGAAGAGCATGCTATTTTATAAATGTAAGAAAATATAAATGAGGTTTATACATGATGGAATAAATCACTCAGTTGGATTCCACCAGTGGTATCAGAGCCAAAGGGTCAGGAAAACTAAGTTCATTCTGTAGGAAGGACTTGAGTGAAGAGATTAAAAGTCCAGGGCCCTGAACTTAAATAGTTCAGGAACTGGATTAGAAGAACTGAGGAGCTGAGGGGCCAATCTGCCGAAGCAGAATACTTGAAGGACTTCTGCACTTTAGTCCTCTTCTTCACAAAGAAACCCTAGCCACCGCATGCCATTTGCCACCGCACACTTGCAAACCGCCAGCTTGCACGTCGTAGACTCAAGAGGTTCAATCTAGAACCAAATCCAGCCAGATCCGACTATTGCCATTGCCGATTGTTCAAACCTCAAAAAAGATCCTCGTCAAATCTGCAGATCTAAACCAAAAGAGAAAACCCACAGAAGGCCAAACTGGACGAAAACATATAGCCAATCAGGTTTGCAAAAACCAAAACTCTGCGATCTAGATTCTAATCAAAACTCTTCGATCTCGGTAAAATCCAAATTCTGATCTGGATTCTAATCAAAATCAAAACTTTGCAATCTGGATTCTGATCAAAACCGTAGACAAAGCTCTGATACCATTGATGGAATTGTGAAATTCAATTTGAGTGATTTCAATTCCATCAATACATAATTGAAAACAAGTAATTCTTAACTATTTTCCAAAATCTGAAGTTTACGAGAAGCCAACATGTTAGTGCATGCATTCTGCAGCTCTTAAAGAGTTACGGCAAACTTGATACAAGCAATTAATATTAAAATATGCTACTCAAGTTGTATCTTGGAAGAGTAATTTAATAACAGAATAAGATAGTTGTATGTTCAATGGGAGAAGTTGTACCTTGAATAATGTTGATAGAAGTGCTAATAGATCCCTACAAATTAATCCTTCCAATGCTTCTTTTGCTTATGGCAAACATGAATTTCCCTACAATGCTTGCACTATTTAGGAAATTTCATTCTCCTTCTCCTTTATTTAGAAAAGATAAAAATGCATAAAATTATGCTTGTGGACATTTTACAAGTAGGACTTCATAAGCTGTACATAGTAGTCAAAAAGTCAGGTTGCTTGTCTCATTTTCATGAATTAATGTGTTCAACTTTAAATGTCTTCACTAATAATAATTGTTACCATTTTCATTATTCTTAAAAATAATTCTACGTCAAGTGTGTTTATAGACTTTTATAATTTAATTTGTTTTAGAGAATCCTGAATTTTACTTTTTTTTTTTGGTGAATAGAAAGATAGCTTAAAACTTCAATGCGGCTGCCGAAAAAAAAAAAAAAGTAGATCACATAAGCATTTAAAAACTTACTTAGCAATGGGAGAAATATTTAAGAAACAATCAAGAAATCTTGCCAAAAAAAAGGGATTAACTGTTTAAAGAATATAGGAATTCAATGGGAACAGATATAGGTAGATCACATAAGCATTATTAATTCAAAATGAACTTGTACATTTGTGGGTTGCAACTGTTTTTTCACCACTAAGTTAGTAATAAAAGTGTTAAATATCATTATAATCGGGGTATATAAGAATTATTAAATTTCTTTAATCAGTATGCCAAAAATGCATTCTGAAACTGAATCAGAAGCCACGCACTTAACTTCTCCATAATGGATTTTAAGAAATAGTACTATTACTATAGATGTTTGTATCTTGTTCACCAAATTCCCAAAAAAAATAATAATAGTTGAATGTCCCCTTATACAATGTTCTAATTACAGGGAGACTTGGACGGTGGGTTAGATATTCCTCAGAGTGATTAGAGGTTTGCTGGTTTCTCAAAGGATTCTAAGCAACTTGCTGCTGAGGTTCATTGCAAGTACATCCATGAAGGGTATGTGATTGCCTATATGAGGGTAACTTTTAGGCGATAGTCACATAGTCATGCCTATTTCGAGCCACGATAGCACTTGTTCAACAATTGAGTTGACTTGTTTGTTTCTTTGTTTGTTTTTTAGACTTTGTTGGAAGATGAGACAAAAAAAATATAAGTCTTATTTCAATGAATATATCAAGAGAAGAACTGATGCAGATGGCATTGAGGGGATGTGTAAGAAAGTTCATGCTGCCATCCGTGCAGATCCCACTCAAAAGAAGTCTGAGAAACAGCCACCAAAGGAGCATAAGAGGTGACTCTAAATATAACTTAAATCATAATAGGCTGTGCAAATTATCTGCCTTGTTTAGGTGATGGTGGTGTTTGTAGAAGTTATGTACTATGGGATGCTTTTGTTATGATGAATAGCCTATGGGATTCAATAAGGCCGAATAAGTTGACATTGCCTTCAGGCATTATGTCTTCATGCATCAACTTAACCAGCCTTTTTAAAGGTTCAAGGGCTGATTGTTTTTCTCGGTGTCGGAGAGAATACTTCGAGAGTGTAATAACCCAAATTAAATTTAATAGAAGAATTTTAATTAAATTAATTTAATCAAGGGTCTAATTGTAAAAATTAAAAGTTGGGGGCTGATTTGGAAAATCTGAAAAGTTTGGGCTCAATTGAAACTGCCAAGGACTAAATTGAAGGAAATCAAAATTGGTGGACTGGATCTAAAGGAAACAGAAAGTTTTAGCCTAAAAAGGGACCAAAACTTTTGACGCCAAATCTGCTGTGTTGTTTGATCATTTCTATGACTATTCACACCTGTGCGTGCATTTTTAAGAAAAGAGCAAAAGCTCTCTCTCAATTTTGAAGATTAGGTGAGTTTGGAGAGAGAAATTAAGAGTTTTCTACTGTCGGCTTCGTTCGTGATCCACGATGAATTTCTGGGAAATTTCGAGTCTTCGATTGGTTTTTAATCCAATTAAAGGCTTCCTTGAGGATTGACTAGCTGGGTTTTGTGGTTTTGGAGAGCAAATCGATTGAGGTAAGTGGTTTTTTATGATTTTTTTCCATCTTTGCATTTTTTTTTTTTTAAGATCCGAGGTCGTTACAAACCCAGTTTCTATAATTGGGTCTGACGACCCGGGCAATCCGAGTAAAGACAAAGGGACTTGGATGATTTGGGTCCCTGCGTCAGGCAGGTCCGGGCCATTGGGCCCCAGACTTGGCCTAGTTGGGTTGGGAGGCTCATGAGCCTGGGCCACGGGTCAGCCTAGAAGAACAAAAAAGAGAGTTGACTGAACCGGCTAGTGGGTTTGATCGCTCGGTTCAATGGTCAAATAAACTGAAATTGGGAAGTTGAACCGGTTCTAGAATCAAGAAAAAAGATCTATTGAACTGAATTGGTCCGAGGGTTTAGAGAGGTCCGGTTTGACCAGAAATTCAGTGTTTTTGATTGAACTAGCCTAGTTCAAGCCAGTTTAGGGGTTAAATGACTAGTTCAGCCTTATTTTGGGTAGTTCTCGACCTGTTTAGACCAATTCTTAAAGTTTTTTGGCCTTTTGAATATAATTTTGAGGGTTTGTGGCCTATTCACTTTAGTTTGAGGTAGTTTTAAGACAGTTTAGGCCGGTTCAAAGATTTTGGAGGTCGGTTCACTATGATTCGAGGATTTTGAATGTTGGTTCACCATTTTGAGGGTTATTGGGTAAAGTGTTGTGTATTAATGAGTCGTGTGGATCCTAGCGATGGGTTATGGTGTCTTGGGATGAGTGCTAGAGTATCGAGATGGGATTGGAGCCTGGTTTGGACTATTGAGCCCATTTTTTGTGCCAGTTTTGGCATTGGCGATGATTTTTGTGTGATTTTGATTACTGATACACTAGTAGAGGTGCACCCGAGCCAGTAAGTCAAGTGAGGGGAACTCGGGATTTCCTTATTAGTTTGGTTTCAGTACTGTGAGTGATAATACCTTTCCTATACATGTGTTTTTCATACTGTATTTTTTGGCATAATGATCATGTGGTTTTGTAAACTGTATTTTAGTTATATGTTACACTTGAGATGTGTGATATGTGTTTTGTGAACTATCAGTGAGTTATGTTGATATGATGATATTGGCTTTTAGGACATGGGTTGTATATACATATGTATATCTGATTTTTTACTTATGTGTGAATGGTATCTTGTGAAGTGATTTGGGACGCTAAGTGGCTCGGCTGGAGGACAGCAATGTCGTAGCGTCCAATGCGAGTGGCCCTAGGTCTGATGTGAGGTGGCAAGGGCTGCGTATATGATATGCACTATTATGATGTGTTTGGGATGGTAGGCTCAGCCAGCGGACGGTGGGTCGTAGTGTGCAGGGAGTGCTTTGGGCCTAGTGATGTAATGTGACTGAGATGCCAAGGGCTCAACTGGCAGACAGTGAGTTATCGTAGCGTGTAGGGAGTACCCTAGTCTAGTGATGTGATATGATGATTGGTTATGTTGATACCTCACATATGTGTTTTGATGTGATTATTGTTCACTATTTATGTGTATGTATGGTTTTGAAGTTGTGGTATGACACATATCCCAGCATGTATAGTTTAGGTATCATTTGTACTCACTAAGTTTTGCGACTCACTTTTTTCTTATCATTCTAGATCGGGGCGACTGTTCGTCTTCTAGTTAGTGCAGATTTAATCTGAGCTCCGATATTTGATTGATGTACGTGCATGTTTCATTATGTTATCACTTTGTACTTTAAATTACTCATTTGTTTTTCTTAGATAGGATTCTGGTTTGTATTTGAAGACATGAGTTTGATTGTTATGCTTGTTATTGCCCTTATGATATGTTGGTTTAATCATGTGAGATAGTTTTGAGGGTGATTAGGGTCGGTGGGCTCTAGTGCCACTTATGAGCCTAGGTTTGTGTTGTGACAGAGAGAAATCTCTGATCATACAAATCAAAAGCGTGCCTTAAAGTGTAAAATTATACGGTTTTATGCTTTTACTCATATCAAATGCTTCCAATTGCATATAAAATCTTTTTTGAGTAAAATCTTGTAAAAATTCACCTAAAAGTAATAAAAATTATAAAATCACATTTTAGTAGTTGCTTCACGATTTTAATCTTAAGTTTGTAATTTTTCATTTTACTAATCGCTTTCATCTAATGCACTATTCTAGTGTCTATTTTGTATAAGTAACTTGATTGTTTTAGTTTAATTTCCTATTATTTCTTATTAATATTGTACTCATGTTAACTTTATATTTGAATATTTATGATTTGATTATTTTAGTTTAAATTATTATTATTATTATCATTTATCATTTATGTTATATATATATATATATGAGGAGAGATTAATTGACATCCATATAAATATAAAACACTTATACCAAAATTTACACAATTGATTTGGCCAAATTTAATGTATAAGATTAATTATAACTATTTTTCACTATATTAATTTACAGTTATTTTTTTCTAAAATATTAATTAAAATCATCCATTAATTTTGATCAAATCAACTGTGTAAAATTTGATGTAAATATTTTGTACTTATACTAGTGTCAATTGTTCGCTTATATGTGTGTGTGTGTGTGTTAAGTAAAATATTTACTTTTACGTTTTCACTTTTATAGAGTCCAAATGCTTTTAAGCAAAAATTTATTTTTGATAACCTTGTTTAGATGGTATCAAGTTACACAATCCATTAAGAACTCATTTTTTTTTTTTTTTGCATAAATTTTTACATGATAATTTCATTTAAGTTCCATCATAAGACCCTCAAACTTGTAAAACTATGATCCACTCAATTGCTATAAAGGTAGTCAATCTCAGTAGCATCTCTGGAGGTGAATTTTTGCCGAATTTATGATTTTTTGGAGAGCGTTGGCTTGTTGATAAAGCTCTTACAAAGCCCTAGAATTGTCTCATTTATCTGACTCTACATATTTAATTTGTAGTGTATAGACATTTGTGTCTCACTCGGTGAAGGGTGTAATAACCTGAATTTTAGGAATTTAACAAATTAGGGGCAAAGTGAGGGAATTGAAAATTTAGGGGACTGAATCAAAATTTTTCTTAGGGGCCGATGTGTGAAAGCAACGAAGTTGAGGGACTGAAATTTGAATTTTCAAAAAACTGTCAAAACAGTGAACCAAATGATGGATTCACTGATACAGCCGCGTTCGGCAGAGTTTGGATCAGCTTTTTGCTCGTTTTTGCGTGTATTTGAGGGCTTGACCGAACCCCTCAACCAATTGGGAGTTTTGTGCGAGGGGGAGTGAAAATTTTCTTCAGTTTTCTGGCCAGCAAACGGACGAAGGACCGAGTGGCTTCTTCGACTTTTGAGAGCTTGTTGATGGCTTTTCCCTCCGATTGAAGGTGGAACGGAGATCGCCTGGTGCAGAGTGGGATCTTGGGAGTGTCTTTGGTCCAGGTATGGTTGGATTCTGGGCTAGATTTTTGATTTGTTTTTTGGTTTCCGGTTGCAAGTGCCGGACCTGCAACCGGGTTGAACACCCAGGCGACCGGGCAGAAGGGACGGACCCGAAAGGGGTCTGCCCCCCCTGTACTGGGCTGGTCTAGGTTGTTCGGCTTGGGCCCAGCCCAATGACCTTGGTGGCCCGCGGGCTTGAGCTGTAGGCTAACCAAAAAAAAAAAAAAAAGTGAGTTGGGCCGAGTTGACTCGGTCCAAGTCAACTTGGCCTTGTGTTGATCGAGCGAGTCAACCCGTCTGGGTTGACTTAGCAAGATTGGGGATATGCTATCCCCGAGGATAGTAGGGCTCGGGATAAAGCTGATTGGGGAATAACTGGGAATTAAATAAACCTGAATTTGTGGATTAGGGTTTTGAAGGGTGGATCAACCAGAGTTGACCAAGGGTTTGACCGGCCAGTTTAGTGGTCAAATGGGCTCAGTTTTGGGAAGTTTGTAATAACCCAATTTTTAAATAAATAATAATTAATTAAATTAATAATCAGGGGCTTAATTGTGAAAATTAGAGATTTGGGGGCTTAATTTGGGAATATTAGAAGTTTGGGGGTTGATTTGGGAATTCTGGGAAGTATGGGATTTCATTGAAATTGTCAGGGACTGAATTGAAGAAAAACAAAATTTGAGGACTAGATCTAAAGAAATCAGAAATTTTGGTCCAAATTGGTGGCCGAAGCTTTTGACACCGAATTCGCCGCGATGGTTGAAGTTTTCGGTGATTTGTTCACACCACCGCGTGTGTATTTAAAAGAGGAACGAAAGCCTTCTCTCAATTTCGGAATTCGGGTGAGTTTAGAGAGAGAAATTAAGTGTTTTCTA